TAAATCAGTCCACCTGTTCGAACCTATTTTAAACTGGACAACAATAGCTGTATGTTAGTAAGTCACGTTGCCTGACACATAGTGGACATTATTTATTGAAAGAAGAAATGACTAACTTCCTACATTGCTTGATTCATGTTTACTTAATTAACGCCAATTCCCAAGACACCAGTTCTGAAAAGTTGTGTCCAAGCTCCCCAAATCTATTCGCTAAATTTTTGCCCTGCATTCACCAAGAGCTGAAAAGATCACAAAATAACATTGTTTCTATCAAATTCGTTATATCACCTTTAAAGACTGTCAGTACAACTTTTACACCTTTGGAGGAGTCATGACTAGTAACAGGATGGGCCATGGAAACAGGAGCCACTGTAGCTGGTGAGAAGATACCCTGTGGTGCAGAGAAAGGCAGCTCTGAGAGCGAAGTTACATATTTTAAGGGGAGATAAAAGTGTTTTAACTAGACAGTCAATCAACTCTCCAAAATTGAGACAGTACTTCAAATTATGGCATTCCATTAGAAAATTCTGCTTTCACATGAACATTCACAGAATATATTTGAAACTTTTTTGAACTCAGAAATAACATTCTGCAAAACATAAGGAAATGTAAAACCAGTGAAAATGTAATCATCCAACTACAGCAAATTTTACAAAACATTCAAACCCTTTTATGGAAAGTGAAATTGTTGGAGTATGTTTTTTAACTGCTTAATTTATTTGGTGCCCGTAGCCATATGTGGCCACAGTAAAGCAGTGCTGATTCTTTTATTTAGCCATTTGGAAACATTTATCTTTAGACTATGTATGGGGAAATTCTATGATGTCCTATTTGCTGTATTCTTATCTTAGGCTTAATAGAGATGAGCGATCTTACTTCACATAGTTCTCCTACCAAGATCATTATTGATTAGACAGTACAAAACCATAAATATTTTTGTATAGATTTTATTTGTTTCCAGTGATGCAATTTGATCAAGACCTGGATCAAGCATTAAATTTATGATATCTTCCTAGATATTATTAATCTTGTTCTCTAAGAATAATAGATTTATGATTTGAAGGGATTTACTTAAATTCCTTTGCTCTTCTTTTTAAAAAAACTGGCACACGTCTCTATTTAAAACATCATTTGGATGCAAAAAGTCACTAACTTAAAACAGAAGTTTTTCTTCCTTTTTTCTCTGATACTTCCTCCTTTTTTTTCCCGTTCTTTTCTTTCTCTTTCTCCCACTTTCCTCCCTCTCTTTTCTGAAAAGTTGTGTCCAAACTCCCCAAACCTATTCTCTAAACTTTTGTGCTACATTCACCAAGAGGTGAAAATATCATAAAATATCATTGTTTCTATCAAGCCAGACCTGTCAGCAGATGTGTAGGCAATACAAAGAGTTTGCAAGAAAACACTTATCTTAGTAATGCTTTTGTGTTGAGACAAATAGAGAAGAAATTATTTCTGAGTCTAAAAATAGTCAACACAGCTTGGAAAACATGGTAATATTTATTCATGATAATAAACATGTTTTTAATGAAAGCCAAAGATGTCCAAACACAAACTGAATCATGACAACCCAATGGTCTTTTTTACAAAAACTATGACATATGTCCCATTAATTTGCTAAATGATATGAGTGCAGAGAAAGGATGAATCAAAACTACTAAAATCCTTTTAAATACACTTTCTAGTTTAGATGTCAACTCTGAAAATGGCATTCAAAAATGGTCACTTGTTTTAAATTTATTTGCTGAGTTTTTGTTACTGTATCTTTACCAATTTCTTTAAAGTTTTAATTGTTATCATTCATTTCAACTCCAAACAGCTACCACTTTGGCTTGACGTTCCATAGAGGACTAAATTCTGTTACATTAGTACATACGTAGGAAGTTATACAATGTCATTTGTAAGTATATGAGTTTGAATGGGCCATTATAAATGTTATATAAGCCACATAGTATATACACTATGTGGTATATGTAATAGCTGACTAGAAAAAAATATATACATATCCGATACATGATTAGCTCTAATAGCTTCAGACGTCTTCTAAATTAAACTTACTATTTGGAAACTTTTTAAAGTTTGTTAGAGATTTAAATTTTTATTCTTAAGTGCCATCAAGTCAGATGACTACATAATTGTCACTTTCAAAAATTTACCTCAGTTTTTCCCCAGAAGCCATTTAGATCCATCTGATATTATTTTTTAAATCAAATTAAATGTAAAAATGTCTAAATAAACTTTTCCCATTTGTAATTTATAATATAGTGATCCTATTATACTCTTTAAATTGAATTATCAGATTCTGAAAATTAAAAAAAAAAAAGCAAAGTTTTATAAATAAAATCTCTGGATGAAAAGGCACTTAAGCTCTGCACATGGTTATTCCAGTCTGTATTCTCCACAACGCTTATCAAATGAAATTGATTTTTGGCCTGCACACATATACAGCAAAGTGCCAGAATAAAATCAAATCAGAACGCCTATGAAAAAGAATCAAGTTGGCCACCAGGGTTTCACATCAGTAGGAAGTTTCTTTAGAGACTTCTGATGGAAATTTGAAGCCTATGTTGCTATCAGATCAAGTGCAGGAAAGATAAAAGGCTACTGGAGAAATTCCCTTCGTTTATTGACCAGAAAGCTAAAACATTTGTTTTAACAGTAAAGCTTGACAAGATAATTAAATGAATGATAACAAAATCTCAGAAGGGAAGTGCCCATTAATTGAATTTATTTGGAAGCATGTTTTCACAAGTATAACCAAATTATCTAATTTCCACTCACATTAAAAAGTGATAGTCTGTAACAACTAATTACTGGAAATGAAGGAAAAGGTCAGTACTTTGAACCAATAACACAGAAGAAAACAAAATTACTAACATCAAAAGACCACCGTATTTGACAGCTTCTTCAGAATTTAACTCATCGTTTCATCCTGTGAAACTATTTCAGTGAAACTCGCCAAAGAAAAGAATCCCAGTAATTTCTAGGTAGTAGTGTCTTTAAAGCTGGAACACATTTCTCACATTCTTTGTATCCTTTTTTGATATTAATGTGTGTGTCAGGATGAGTGTGCTAAGAGACAAAATAACTGTTGTTACAACGATTTAGTTTCAGCACTTCACTTTTTAAAAAAACAATTAGTGCTATCAGTTTTCCTCTTTAGTAATACACATATAGTTAATAATTTTTTTAAAAATGTTGTTGTTTTCATGTACAGATCAGGAAGTCTGAAATAAAGCATCATTTTGGTCAACTTTTATATTTGAAATGAGGACTAAAGTAACATATACTCAGATTTTCTGCTTTAAGCTGCCAGAGAGATGTCTCCAAATTGGACATTTTTAATGCTTGAGCAAATTATTTTCTAATTTGAAAAAAGTTAATGATAAACTTTGTCATATATCTGTAGTATTAGATTAGATCTTGCTCATAGTCAACATGTTCAATACAGATTTAAAACTATGAAATTTGTCACTTTTATTTTTCTAACCCCATCCTCTAAAACATTAATCTGTTGGAAACATTTGGCAAAAATTTTATATAATAGCAAAACAATGAAATTCTGTTCATTTTGGTATAATGTTTGTACAAATTATAAGTAGTCTTGCCTAATTTTTAATCTGAGGCAGGAAAATCTGAATTAACAAATAATGCCAATAATATTATTTTAATTTTGTGACTTAAACATTGTTTTTCAAAGAAAATTATTATCTAAATAAATACATTTAAACATATTGGCTAAAATTGAGTAACAGTATTTATGTTTCTTGCATACAAACATTATGTTTCAGCTTTAAAAACTGTTCTTAATGTTCTGTATAATGTGGGACATCCTTTTTCATTCAGAAAACTGGAGACTGCTATTATAAAACTAAAACCTAACACTCATTTGCAATGACTTTATCCAGTGACTTGAGAACAGCAATTAAATCTAGGCTGCTTTATCTTCCACAAAGTTACTCTACCTTAATTTAGAGAAGATAATAGGGCTATGCTTTGTTTTCCTAAATCATTTTCCTAAATTAATATAAAGATGATGATAACATATAGTTATGCTATATATAGGTAGATTGATAAATGCAGAGCAATAGATTGGTAGATAGATATAAATATGGCCATTGTTAAAACATGATATTTAATAGAACGTTTGGTTTTGCCAAATGAAGCAATGCATATGAAAGTATTCATTTATATCTTATTTTGTCATCATTTCTATTCTGTTCTTGTGTTTTGTGTAATCAATATAGTAGAATACAGTGTTCCAATTGAACAAGATTTTAGATGCTAAACAATACTTTTTACTTGTGTACATTGGCTGTTCACAGTCTAAAAGCCTAACCACGTCAGTCAAACACTGCATGTAGATCACTCTGAATTTTGAAGACGTTTTGTTTCTAACAGAGATTTTTTTTTTTAAATTATGGAGCAATATCTACATTTCATTGGTAGCTAATAATTGGACAGGGGGATTATAATAATTCCTTGAAATATATTTTTATCTTTTAGTGTCAGTTTAATATCTTGCTCAACACTTTTACATTCTTTTAGCAGGGCAACTTTCTACTCACTACTTTATTGTAGTTTAATCACCCTCATATTATGAGCCTAGTTAGTTGTATTCTATAAAATATTGCAAATTTATTTTCAATAGACCTTTTCCTTGATGACCAGAATTGGAACTTGTGTTTCTAGCTGAAAACAATTGGCACTTTATTTCTACAACATCTGTACCTAAGAGGTATTTAAAAACACAAGAGCTAATCTTTTTTTTCAGGAATTTCTGGAGCTTTTAAATTCACAACATTAAAGTTTTATGAGTTTCATCTTAGATGAGACTTGCCGATGAGACTTGCCTTTAAATACATGGTTGTGTTTTCTATGGAGGTTACCTGTATGTCTTCAAAAACCCGACTGGTCTACTGTAGAAATATTACTCTCTGAGACAGTCATGTTTCTTTGTTTTCCTTTTTTTTTTTTTTTTAAAGAAAGACAAAACAGCAATAAACATTTTAGCTCTTTAATGAGCAAAGATCATGTTTCTTAGCATTGGACTAATAGTCATTATCCAGATTATCTTTATTTCACACAATGACCAGTGACATGGCCAAGATGTACAAAGTTGGTTCCATCAAGTAGTATACAATTTTTTTTTTTGTATAATAAGCTTTCATTCTTGAAAAAGAGTAACTGAAAAGAAAGGTTTCTGTTACTGCAGTTAGTTTGTCAGAGAAAGTTCTTTGCATTATCTTATAAACTATCAAAATTGCTAGTCATCTGAAAAAATGTAAAAAAAAAATCACATAACTTTAGTCTAATAGAAATATAGTACAGGTAAGAGAGAAAGTATTTATCAGGATGTGCTCTTTAAGTCCATCTCATTTTTTTAAATATAAATGTACATCTGATTACATATACAAACATTTGGAAAGGTCTGTGATATACTGTTACTGGTAAACAACAGGGGATGAAGAGTTTCCTGTGGTCTTAGAATATTCATTTAAAATCACACATACGTATAAGACTAACATCCTCCAGGTGTTGAGTCTCCCAGGTTCCGTATCTACGTTGTACTCTACTGAGATTGCGTGAGTAAATTCCAGTGAATGAACCTCAGTGAGAAAGATACGTGATGTAAAGAGGGACATAACTTTATAATGAATTGTTATTAGTAAACATTTTGTCATGCAGGATGAGTAAATCAATGAACTCAGAACTATAATCAGAGTGGTAATACTGGGGCATCCTCATATCATGAAAGACTGTTGTGAGTAACTCTTTGGACACACTTCACCTTACCAAAAGGAACAAAATACAGAGTAACAAACAAAACAAAACAAAACAAAAAAACCCCACAACAATTTATAGATCCTGTACCACATGTCCAATTAGGGTTATACATTATCTAGATGGGAATGAAAAGAACATTAAAAACAGGAAATTTTCTTTCTGGGATTCATATCAGCGAGTATTCACCACTATACCTATAGTTTCTTCAAATACCTTTAATAGCTAATTCCTTCTATATTGAAACTACTGTGAATTATTTTATTGTAATTACTTTTGCCCCTTAAAATCTTCTTTAGGTTCTGCCAATTGATGGAGGAAGCTTCTATTAAAAACTCCAATGGGATGAGAAGAATTTTAATTACGGCTTAATCAGCAGCACAGCCACCAAGCATATAAATTATCATGCACATCGTGCTAAAAATATCCAGTTTCCTTTATCCCCACAATTTTATACTGACAGCACTTATGTGATAATGTTGTACCTGCCAGTCTTTAAACTTCTTTGTTTTACTGGCAAATTTCAGCATGAGCCTTTGCTAAGGCCATTAACAGCACGGGCACCTTGTGTACTTATCCAAATATGTAAATATGGTCTACACAATAAAACGGCTCCAAATAAAAATGGGTGGAAATTATCTGACATTCCATTGGTGTGTCCCTTGTGCATATTCATAGTTGTTTTTTTTTTTATTTTTGTTTTTTATATTTCAGACATAGTTCTTTCCTGTTTGGTGTTCCACATGCCTAATTCCATTATGTAACTTAAATCTTCAAAAAATTAATTCTTGAATGTGAATGAAAAAGTATCATTCAGAACAACTGCTTCAAGCAATTGAAATTTGTTTTTGAAGTTGAGTGGTATATATACAATTCATTTTTTTCAAAACCCCCAAAGTTCTTGATATGTATATTCACATAATATTCCTCCTTATTTAAATAGTTAAGTCTTGTAGGTTGAAAGCCAAGGAATCTCCAGTAATTGTTTACTGCAATCCATCAAAAAAAAAATAGTTTGTTTCTCTTATCTGGCTATACCCTGGTTGTTGAATGTGAATGGGGGTGGGGGTGGGGATGGGGCAGAGTATTGCTCTGTCCTCCAGTGAATGTGTTGAATGTGTGTAAGGGCTGAATCCCTGGTATAGTGTTGGGAATCATTGTAATGGTGTTGGGTGTCATTAAGGGAACATCATCGGGTGACCTCCTCATAGCTAGTGTGTAATCTGGGGGACAGGCGGTCCGAAGAACCACCTCATGTGGATGGATGGACTCACATTCATGATCCAAATCAGTGTGCTTCATTTGAAGGGACATGATTTCCTCTTCTTGTGCATGGGTGAGATCATTGGTAGTGGTGCGCTGAGGGCTGCATCTCCTGTGAACATCGTGTCTCCTCTTATCCTTTTTGTAGTACAGGGCTGCAAAGGCCAAGATGTTCAGAAACAGCAGTGACGCTCCAACTGCAATAGTGACACTCAGCTCTGTTGAGTAGTCCCTCTGATCCACTGAAAACGGACTTGGTTGTTGCTTGGGATCATCCTGCTTGGCAGTGGGAAAGGCTGATGTGACAGGTACAGAATTTTTTCTCGTAGGTCTGAAAGTGATGTCAGTTGATGGCACTTTAGTTGTTGTAGAGGTATACTGAGAAATGTCATTGAGATTATGCAGATGAGGTACCAGCTCCAACCAGAGGTTTACCTTATTGGCTCTGTAATGTTCTTTAACTCTTGGTTTTAATCCAATATGGAGATAAAGTTGGTCTTTCTGGGAATATCTGGTCCATGCTACTTCTTCAAAACGGTTGGGTTTGGTATGGATGAATTTCGTGTCTTGAGGGACTGGTTGATTTGGGTCACTAAGAAGGAAAAGATAAATTATGAGAATAAAATTATTTTATTTTTTACCTAAAATGACACTACTTTAACATGTAATAATTAAAGAGATGACTCAGCAATGCTTTATATTGTGTTTTCACATTAACTTGGGTCAATTAAAAAATATAAATCTTCTAGCAGGCAGATTGTCAGATGGGTGATAACGTAAGGCAAGTAAGTGTTACATTTTGTTCTCTCTGCCTATGCTGAGATGGGCTACCATCTACCCAAAGATTTTAAATAATTATTTAAATACTCACTTCCAGAGGATTTGTCTCATAGGCAAACTAGCAGAGATGACACGGAACAGTGGAAAGGATTTTTGATTTGAAACAAGCAGATAAAGATTTGAGACTAGACTCTGCTCTATACCAGACGTGTCAACATCTCTATGAAGTTCCCAGAGCCTCAGGTCTCTTTTTTGTCAAGTGGGATTAATAGGACCTGATCTGCCAGATTCAGAAGATAGTTGGAAGGATTAAAGAGTGTTGTGAATTAGAGAGCACTATAAAATAATTCTTGTTACCGCTGAGCAGTAAGCCCTGTGTAATTCAAAAATCAAAAGCAGATGTAATTAAGTAATGCAATTCACATATGTACTTTCTTAACAAGCTTCTAAAACACCAGAAATAATAAAGCAATGACTTTGAAAAACACCATAATATAGAATTAATTTTGAATAAAGGAATTTAATATGTTGCTGGTATTAATCCGATATTAAATCTTTTGGGTACAAATGTCTATTATTTTTAAATAGTTAGGATAACATTTTTATTAACTTCATTCCTTAGGTACATACCCAGTTTTAGCAAAATTTGTCCAGTATGTCATTACAACTGCACTCAGCATCACATCGTTTTTGGAGAAATTGCAAGGAAATAACTCCGTCGGGCCAATCATGGGGATTCCCAGTACGTAGGGAACCTCGTCTCCATGGGCTGCATCAGCCCAGGCTGGAACCTGATCTGTTTGGCAATGATGGTAAAAGGCATAGAAGTACGTAGGTGAACCAAAGTTTGAGTGAAGATCTGCTGTGGCTACAGCTGGTGCCACCCACTGATGGTCCGTGAACAAAGCCAACAATGTCTTTCTTCTGGTTTCAGGGTTATGACGGTCAGCCCAGTCAGTATACATGAACTTAATGGTTTCTCTCAAAACATCTTTGCCTTCAGGATATCCATATAAATTATCAACAAAATTTGAAACAGCAAAGTCAAAATCACTAGCTGATATACCATCATCGCTATCTACTATATTTTCAACAAATTTTAACCCTTCCCCTTGGTTCACTCCTAACATGATATCGTAGTTAAGAAACTCTCCTTGCTCCATCAATATCTGAGGGTCGTCTGGTATTACATCACCATCAATCACAGGTCCAAAGGCTATGTGGTATCTAGCTGGTTGAATATCTTGGTCAACAAGTTCTTTGTAAGGCTTCTTCTGGAGGCATTCCACTAACTCTACTGTATCTGAAACATTGCAACCAACTTTTGTGGCCAACATTCTAGCATATTTTGCAGGTTGAAAACTAACAGCCCAGCTGGAAAGGGCTGTTCCACTTTGAGCTATTGCTCGTTGAAAAAGTCCTATGGGAAAATCAACAAAGAATTTCAGATGATCTTTGAGTAATGTTGTGGTAAAACAGTAACATCTGATATTTTAGACATGTATATAAAAACCCAGATACAACTCAAGAAACAGGGAGAGAGAGACATTTTTGCTTAAGGGAAGTACACAAAGCCATCCACAGGGTACAACGGATTAGAGAGGCAAATCCAAGACTTGTGCTTTGAGTGGCACCTGCCTTAGGGGTCAAGAAGTCTAAACTGTGTAGAGTCTCAAAGAGGCAGGAGGAAAGAAGAAAAGGAGAAGATGCAGTGGTAAAAAGTCTCAGAAGTGTTCTTCAATGAGTGTGTAAATACTTATATTATCATCAACATTAACCAGATGGGACCAATCTTGTCCTATTCAATTCTCCAGCATTGTCCATTCGGAATATTTCCTCCAGTCTGGCTGTGTCTATCTATCTTCCTTTTAAATAGTTCTATGTATTTGTTTTAACTACATGTTATTTGAAAAAGAATTTTTAAAGGCTCATACAATGACTGGAGCTGGCTGTTTGTTTATACCCTGGGGATGGCCCTGAACTCACACAAAACAGAATTTCACTTTAGACATACTCTTTCCAGATCTTCATGTCAGACATAGTATGCTGAATATTCATCTTTCAGAAGAAGACATAACATTTGAAGTGTTTTCACTAGGTTAGAGAAAAAACCATCAGCCAAAAGATTTAGTGTGGGGTGATTTAACTTTTGCCACTGTTGAATGTAGACTACTATTTTTTTCATAAAAGATGAAAAGCACATGGCCCACTGCTTTTTACTTAATTGCATTTAAGAATTGTAAATGATGGTTCCCTCTGCAGTTTGATAAGAGCTGCATGTCATTCAAATTTACAAATGCACTTTATCTTATCTTCTCATTAAGGTATTTTTCTAGTAAAATTCCTATTTTAAAAATATAGTTTATCTATTTTCTTTTTAATATTGAAATGCATTATCAATTTCCAAATACAGCTTTGTGCTTCAGTTAAACACTTGCAAATCTATATGTGTTTATGAGATAAAAACTCTTTTCACAAAGGTGTTGAAGCAGTGTCTGAATTAGAAGGAAAGTTTGAGATTTTTTTTTTAACCAAGTATGCCTATATATTCAACATGTCTGTAACATGTTCACATATAATTCTAAAGGTATTAAAAAATCTTGACAATATTAATGTAAATTTGTTTTGGTTTTCTGACATCTTTATAAGCTTTTTTTAGTTTACTAGAACAAAGTATGAAAGGGCAAATGATACAAATACAGATAATTTTAAAAACTGTGGCTGGGCGCGGTGGCTCACGCCTGTAATCCCAGCACTTTGGGAGGCTAAGGCGGGCGGATCACGAGGTCAAGAGATCAAGACCATCCTGGCCAACATGGTGAAACCCCGTCTCTACTAAAAATACAAAAATAATTAGCTGAGCGTGGTGGCGTGTGCCTGTAGTCCCAGCTACCCGGGGGGCTGAGGCAGTAGAATTTGCTTGAACCTGGGAGGCAGAGGTTGCAGTGAGCCGAGATGGCACCACTGCATTCCAGCCTGGCGCCTGGCAACAGAGCGAGACTCCGTCTAAAAGAAACCAAAAAAACATAAAACTATGTTGCTGTTTATCAACATTTGCTCAAGAAAATATTGTATTAATTAAAAATTGTATAACTAAAAAAACCCGGGTGATTTGTGTAATATTCTTTCCCATTTCAGGGACTCAATGATATTAACTAAACATACCAATAAAGATTTTGAAGGAAAGGCACATCATGTTCAATATATCCTAAAATATGCCACCAAGATGGTATTGGGAACACCATGTATTTTATCATTAGTGAAAGTGCTTCTTATGTGGTTGTAAGATGGGGCTGACTCATGGTATAATACAAGCCTGAGCACTGGGGCAGCCCTTTGTGGAGTTTATTGCCTTTAAAGTCTATGTCTACACTGGAGGCAGAATCAGCTTGATGATTTCAAGAGCTCTTTTGAGCATCTCCTGGTAAAGTCAGGCAGCATGTCTCAGTCTGGAGATGGGTTTAGGCCAAACCTAAGTTCATATCTTTTTCCAGGTACAGACAGATTCCCTGAAGTATATAAGAGAATGCTGTATTTTCAATTGTTTGAGTAACCATTTACCACTGTTTACTACACCATCAGTTGAAGACTAGCAGTGCTCGGTGATGAACTAACTGACTCACCTCTGAACTAACTGACTCACCTCTGAAACCAGTGCCGGTTCGATACTAGCCAAAATTGGTTTTGATGTCAATTTTGGTCAAAGGACCCTGAGAAACCCATATAGGTGGCTTAGTGTTGCCATAACTACATAGTGGCATTAGTAAAATACTGAGGTTAGAACAACCTCATCTGTTTAATTAAAGAAACGCTAAGTTTATTACTTCGAAATAAGCCATTTCTTTACAGATGAAATCTCTCTTGGAAATGTTCACCTGTGTTATTTTGTCATCTTGAATCAGAATTGTACTAATATAAATGAAATGCTATATAAACTATGTTAATAAATTAAGTCTATGATTCTTATATATATTTATATTTATATTTGTATATACTCATTTAATGACTGGCTGACATTTTGAAATTAAACATTCATCTGTTTTTGATATCAAAATAAAATGTCATATGTCTGGTGCTCCTATCACAAAACTCAACCTTACAAAAAAAGATGCTTCATGAATTATACTTGACAGTATACACTTTCTTCATGTGTATACAATGACAATAAAAAAATCAGAAATTAAAACCTGGTCTATTTTTTATATATTCTCTGTCTTCCTATTATATATAAATAATGCAGAAAAAGTATTTGCTTTGCAAATTTCTTCAACAATACTCTTGTGAAATTTCAAATTAATAATGCAGTTGGAATGAGTGACTAAACGCATAGTAAAATGGAGATGGAGTTCCTAAAGAACAACATGATAAGCCTTGGACAGGCACTTTGAGAAAAATATGTCAAAGCCAGAAAACAGAAATAAGAAAAATATTTCATGGATTTCAGCAGCCTCAATACTCCATGCTGCCTTGCCAAGTTTAGGGGGAAAAATAATGCTTTTGGAGTTAAAAATTGAAAAAACATTAAATTGAATGTATTTTTCTTTTTAATCAAAAGCTCTACCAGTGACCTTGATGCTTTGACAATTTTGGATCATGCATGCAAAATAATCAACAATCCATTCTGTACTCAGACAACAAGTGAAATCACGTTTTCAGACAAACTAGCTTAGGACCACATGATACTAATAAAGGGTTTTAAATGTCTATTGTCTAGAAAACAGATTATATACAATTCCTGCATTTAAAAAGTCTCATCTTTGATTTTGATCACTGAATAAACAAAGATGACAGAACTGTAGAACGTCTTTGTCTGATTTTTCCTCAAATCACCCTCTGAAGGAAAGAAGAATGACTGTAATGCTGACTATTCTGAAGTGTACTTGAAAGGGCATCCTTACCAAGCTCCACAGGAGACAAAAGAGTTTGACGAAAATTTAAACATGCACAGAAAAGCTGAAGAAACAAAGCTTTAAACAGTTATTGAGTTCAACCTAACACTCAGTTTGAACAGAGAAATATACAGAGCATCACATACTACTGATGGTGGTGGCATGCAGACACCAAAATTGTCAAAATTTGCAACCTGCATAATACCTTTGGTTGAATTGCTCCAACGGTTACCTTCAGAATAATGGGATAAAGTCAGCAGATTGACACATGAACCCCCAGCACCAGATCCAAAAACAGTGATTCTTAAGGGGTCACCACCAAAGAATCCAATGTTTTCACTAGTCCATCTTAAAGCTTGTATGAGATCAAGAAGTCCATAGTTCCCTTTTGCAGCCTGATCCCCTGTACTCAAGAAACCTGAAAAATATAAATTTAGAAAACACTTTTGAGCTGGCATGAATCAAATAGACACCAAATTTAAATAAATGATGACTGTATTAATCAAGGTAAGCACAGTCCAAGTTCATCAGTAAAAATTATTTTCCACCATAAAAAAAGAATTTACTTTAGCAAAAATAATAGTGGGTGAAATCTGAAAAATGACATTTATCTTCCCCAAACGCCTCCCAACTTTTCCAGGTAACAGATAACTGGGGCAGATAAAGGGAATACAAACATTCTGAAAACCTCAGGAAAGACGTTCCAGGGGCCAAGTTACTCGGTGGAGACATTTGGATAGTATCATGGGGCTTATGTGAACGTGCATTTTGCAGAAAACACCACGTCTGTCCTCAAGTTGCTTGTCATCGAACATGGTTGGAATTTTAGGTGTTTGGGGCAGAGTGGCAGGATAGAAATGTGTACAGCAGGCAGGTATTTCTCTAAGACCTGTAGAGAAAGGTTTTGTAAACTCCAAAAAAGTATATACAACTCTTCACGCACGTGAATATGTACATTTTTAATCAATGATTAAGAATTACTGTGCCAAGGGCGACTGGAGACCACATTTAACACCACTTTAAATGCCAAACCGAGGGGAGCTTCTCAATTAGCAAATGGTGTAGAATAATTGAGGTTTTTTTGAAAAGTTCAGACACATATTTCTGAAATGCTCAAAGCTCTGCTTTATAGTCAACCTGAAAACGCGTAGGAAAATGTGGTAAATCTGAAAATGAGGAGGAGGGAAAACAGAGGTAGAGGAGAGAGTTTAAGGACCTGCACTGACAGAATGGCAAGGGCAATTGAAAAAAAAAAAAAAAAAAAAGGACAGAAAAAAATATTGTGGCATTAAGATCTGAGTAATTGTTTTACATTTGAAAGTTGTAGAAGGGAGAGTCAAATATATTACTTTAGCAATATCTTCAACATATTCACTAATTTAGCTGACTTAGTAGCTTTTATAGTGTGTTCATTATAACTTGTTAAAAAAACCTGTTCTCTAATGTATTTTGGCATTTAGTATAAATGAAAATGTAGAAAGTGTTTCATAAAGTACTCCGTCTTAAGGACTATTTTATATTATGTAGAAAATATTTAGAGTCCTATTAGATATAAATTGATTATATTCAGGGATATAATTTCTAATCTCAAAAAGTTTATAGAACTAATTTTAAAAAATTAGTTCTCTTATTGGAGACTTACGATAGAAACAACATAATAGGTCAATGTTTGTGGTACGAATTATTTTATTCAATTTGAAATATATCTCTTTATAAAGTAAGCTAGACATAGATTACATTTATGGAAAGAAAACCATAATAACACTACCTATCAGGTTAGCAAATAAATCCATAACCAAACTGAACACATGGACAAGAAATTCTTTAGGATAATTGTAGAAAGGAATAGATGAAGACAAATACTCCTGAATAATTTTGAAAAATTTGAAGAAATGAAAGTGTTTAGTTCTTTTTTCCTACAAGATCAAATATTCCAAGAAATAAAACTGCAGTCTCTAATTCAGTGTGTGTGTGTGTGTGTGTGTGTGTGTGTGTGTGTGTAATCCTGAAAATGTTAACTTTCCTTGATATTAATATTTTAAAAAATACAGGTCAAATAAACAAATTTTCCTGGTAATACCCCTCTCTTTTATTGTATTTGCACAATAATTTAAGGAAATTTTCATGGTGTCTTCTTAGAAGCATTTTCAAATACTCAATATTCATATAAATCAGAGAGTAATGAAATACAAAACAGAAGCATGGCAGGAAACTTTTAACTCTATTTGGCATTACATGAACTTTGATATAAGAAAGAACCATTAGTTTAAATTTCTGAAAGATTGTCTTACAAATGAGTCTGTCTACCAAGACAGACTATTGGCATGAACTCTAAAAACAATATTATGGAAGAATCACTGTACATTAGATAGAAAAAATTCTTGAAGGAAAAAGGAGGGGTGTGTGTGTGTGAGAGAGAGGGGGAGAAAGAGAGAGAGAGAGAGAGAGAGAGAGAGAGGGTGAGTGAAAGAATAAGAACATAGTACTCTTGTTACCAGGTTGGTGCAAAGTAATTGCCTTTTATTGCCATTTAAAAGTAATTGCAAAAACTACAATATCCTTAACGCCAACCTCATAATTTATTACCTATAATTCTATATCATTAATATATTCAGAAAAATTTTGGTTTCTGAATATAGTTTATGTCCCTCAGTGCAAAATGAGGATTCATATTTAACTCCTCTCAAAATAATCTCCAGTTACATTCAAGTAAATCTTTACATTCATATGGAATTGACTTACTCATAATAATCATCATTCAATGTGTAGCATGTAGGGAATCATGGTAATAAGCCAATTATTTCTACATTAACTAAATTGTATCCCCTGTATAATCCCAGTTACACATGCACTCTTTAGTCAAATAGCTTTGTGTTTATATAACAGTACTGTTAAAATGTATTGTCTCTGAAGAGTAACCTCTACTTTATATATAGTCTAAAGAAGTCTTGTAATATATTCAAGAAAAAGTTTTAAACAAAATCAATTCAATTCAAAAATCTTGTTATTAAACCACAGCATGGAAAATAGAGTAAATCATTGGGTAGAAGCTATTGTTTTGTAGCCTCAAAATGTGCAAGATTATTCAGTCAAGCTCCATTTTTATCCTTCAGTACTGAATTTCTCTTACTCCTGATTCTACTGTTTTTTCATGTGTATGTTGTTATCTGTCTATATCTATCTACCTATCTACCTACCTACCTATCATCTACCTATCTATCATCTGTCTGTCTATCTATCTATCTATCTGTCTCATTTGTCTGAAACTAAATAATCATTAGCATGAATAGAGGACCACGTTGTGTTTTATATTAGAAAAAACTGACAACAGCTGTCTTTATGAAGGCCAGATGACCAATCAAATCACACATCTTCAGACCTGACAAGGAGATATATACTTGCATACATAGTTTGATTACTGATAGTACATTGAAACAACATCCTGTGGCTAAGTGGACAAAATGAAGAAAGTTAAATAAATTGCTGCTCAAAAGAGGTACGGTTTGCGAATTACCCAAGTGATGTACATTGACAGCCTTTTTTATACCTTGGTATCTAGTGGAGTAGTAATTTAAAGTTCTTTTTAAATTGACTTAGCTGTTACGTCCTTAACAGCACAACCATTTCAGATCACTCTAGCTGAAACTTTACATTGACATGCTCAACTATAGTCCATTCATGGGGGAACTCAATTTTGCAGAGTCCTCACTTGAGGATTACTTTGGAGAAGAACACTTTTCCTTTAATGTCACTTGAATCATTCTTAACAGATAGTCACTACTTTATCTGGCTTTTCTTGATCCTCATTTTAAACTCCTGGAATATGTGACTAATTATTGTCATAACACATTGACACATTACTATTTTTGTAAAATAGAACAATAATGACTATAAAAACAAATTTTCTTTTCAGAAAAAAGTACAAAATTTTCCAAAAAAAATGTTTAACTGCTTAATTTACTTGACTCAGGAATATAAAACTTTAACAATTAATAATTTTAAACTTAGGCCGGGCGCGGTGGCTCAAGCCTGTAATCCCAGCACTTTGGGAGGCCGAGGCGGGTGGATCACGAGGTCAAGAGATCGAGACCATCCTGGTCAACATGGTGAAACCCCGTCTCTACTAAAAATACAAAAAACTAGCTGGGCATGGTGGCGCGTGCCTGTAATCCCAGCTACTCAGGAGGCTGAGGCAGGAGAATTGCCTGAACCCAGGAGGCGGAGGTTGTGGTGAGCCGAGATCGCGCCATTGCACTCCAGCCTGGGTAACAAGAGCGAAACTCCGTCTCAAAAAAAAAATAAATAAATAAAAATAAAAATAATAATAATAATTTTAAACTTAAGGCTAACTCTCAAAATTCATAATTGCAATTATGCTAAAAATTATTTGACAGGTTCGTATATCTACTACAATTGTCATTCACCTATTTGTTCAAATAGAATTTATTTAGGCCGGGCACAGTGGCTCAAGCCTGTAATCCCAGCACTTTGGGAGGCCGAGGCGGGTGGATCACGAGGTCAAGAGATCAAGACCATCCTGGTCAACATGGTGAAACCCCGTCTCTACTAAAAATACAAAAATTAGCTGGGCATGGTGGCACGTGCCTGTAATCCCAGCTACTCAGGAGGCTGAGGCAGGAGAATTGCCTGAACCCAGGAGGCGGAGGTTGCGGTGAGCCGAGATCGTGCCATTGCACTCCAGCCTGGGTAACAAGAGCGAAACTCCCTCTCAAAAAAAAAAAAAAAAAAAAAAAAAAAAAAAAGAATTTATTTAATGCCAGTCTTCCCAACTAAAAACTCATTCTATCAAAAAACATTTCCATTTGTGGTTCCTACATGAAACTACTAACTCTACTCAGTTGATTACATCTACTGATCTAGCTTGAATTTTCTGTTTACATGATCTGGCAACTAGAGTTAGTTTCAAGTGCTAGAGAGAAACCAGGTAATTGAACACAGGTACATAGGCTCTTGGAATGGAAAAATAAGACTAGGCCTAAAATAAATTGGACAAGGGGAAAATAAATAACTGATAATTACTGTGACGAAGGTATTGGCTTGGGCTACTGTTATATATGGAACTCAGATAACTCTCTGATAGGCAGACCCTAAGAAGTGTGAAAGGAACTAATTTAAATTGTCAGGCGGTAGCCCTGCAGTTTATTGGTTAACCCAATTTATACTTAGGTCTCTTATAATACAACCAAACAACCACGTACAAAATCGTTAGAATGTGAAAAAAAATGCAGACTGTTTACATTTGAGTTGACATCTAGGATGTCAGAAATTTAAGATGACTGTGGTTCTACACTATAGCTTTGCTTCCTCCATTTTTAAGGGAGGAGCGTATTTGAGTGTCTATGTTTATAGCTGTTAATTTCTAGAAACACTGAATAGAATAGAATATTCCTTTCAGTC